TAAGCTACTCTGTGCTAAATGCAATTGCTGCCTGTATTGCTTTTAATGCTTCTCCTTCTTGTTGATGCTGGACAGGTATGGGGGCAGCGAAATGGGTGGAGTGGAGTGTGTCAGGTGCAGTGACCCCCATTTCGCTGTGACGTGTACTTGAATCGCGGACTCAGTGTGGGATGTGTATGCTTTTGCGTCTTTCCTTGTTAGCGATGACCGTAACGAGGGAGGATGATGAAGAAGCGGGCAAATTACATGCTCCCTTGTTTGTTCTGGGAGCATTTGTACGGCTCTTTACTAATGCTTCAGTGACATTCTCGCCCGAGCAATGAGGTCTTCTCCAACACCTCTCCTTTGTGTCTTGATGAGACGGCGTGTGGGTGGCCATGTTAGTTACACTGAACACATTTTAGCTAATAGGGATACATGTAGGTGCAAAGATTGGTCCCTGGATTCCATCTGTGAAGAGATCTTGACATGACGATTATGATTGTACAGATTACCGGAAGTCTGTGCGCTCTACTCACATCCGTGATTTGTCATTACGGCGTTGTTGGCGGTGTTGTGGTGTCGTGTGGCTTGCGAGAATTTCGTCCGTAGCGCGGTCTGCAGTAGCCTCTCGAAGTGGCGTGTCTTATGGTGTGTTAGACGAGGGTGCAAGAAATAACTGCTTTACATATTAGTTTAAGTATAGAGGCATTTCATGCTTCCTTTCCTTTTTGACTTGTATTTGTGTCTGCATTCGTCGCTTCATTTCCTATTGACGTATCGCTCGGTGACTGTGGTGCCATTCCTTACCGTCTCCTCCACTCTTCGTCACTCATCCTCACATCTGACCTGCTACATTCACACCAGTCACACGTGAGAAGAGACAGCTGATTACAACCTCAATCACCACCAAACCTGCAGTGGCCTTAGCAACAGCAGTTGCGAGTGAGTGCACGCTTAATGTTGAAGTGGCTATAGTGCCTTGGTTAGGGGCTGATATTGTATCATGGGAGTTCTAAGCCACATTCACACATGTTAGCACCCTTGCGGAGCATCACTACCACCATCA